CTAAATTGTACTTCCTAAATTATCTTCATTTTAATATTATAATATCTTAGTTTTACATGTATGAAATGTCCCAAACTGATCACTTTAAAGGCACTGCCTGGCCAAATTATTTGATCAGCGCATTGTTTTTAAATGGTCTGCAGTTTCGGGTCAACCCGCAGATCTTATGTCAGCGGGTTGGGTCAGGTTGTGGAATTTATTGGTCATATGTGCAGGTGACGGTGCAGGTGTGGTATTGCACTTCATGGTCTAGTTTGGGAATGGGTCTTGAAAATCAGACCCATGCAGGACTCTGCTGCATAATGTCATTGGGCAATATGACAATACTGTGAGACAATATAAGTCTATCAAATGCCTCACCAGTAACAGCCTGATAGCAATACAGTATCTCTTTTTCTACAGCATTTTTACATGTCCTGGTTGGAAAGACACAGTTGTGATAATAATGATGATAGGTACCCTTTCAGGGCTCTAACATTGTGCATGATGTCTCAGTTGCATAGCTTACCGGGACATGTCAGACAGGATGAAAAGTGCTATGACAAGTCATAATCTCTGCTGTTGAACCATTAAGGACAAGCTTGCAAATTAAAGATCAGAACTGCTTCAGGCAAAATAGATTTTTTATGATTTTATAAAGAATAAAGTAGTTTTTGAAATATCTTTATTTGAAAGAAATTTAATTTCCTGGGCTGGCCAAAGACAGATCATTTCTTAGGATTCTACCATGGCAAACAATTTTATCCATATCACTCACTCATACCGCATAACTCAAGAAAATCAATATCTTCTTTTGCTTTCTCTGTGTCGGCTGCGATGTTCACACTGACACTATGTGTGTCCATTCATGTCACAACACTATGCAGGTGTTTGCACTCTCTCCCCAAACCCTTGCTATTTTTTGTCGCCAAGCTGGAATAAGCCTCCGACACAGAGAATAACAGCTTTGTTCTCCCCTCTGTCTGAAACACAAGGTGACGACCTCCCACCAGAATGTAATGTGCATCTTTTTTCTCTTTAAATGCTTGGGGATGAATCACTTGAAAAAAAAAAGGGGGGGGGGGGGGGGGGGGGGGGGGGTGTTCACAGGCCTACGCTATTGATTCAATTTCTATGACCACAAATACTTTAAAGCATAATAAGCCTATGCTTCAAGTCCCCATACCCTTTCAAGGCTTGAAATGGCCTTGTCGTTACCTACAAATCACAGCTCTCTGCAAAGCCCTCTCTGGAGCAATATGTCAGTGACCACAGGGGAGGAAAAAAAACAGAAGGCAACAGACACAAGCAAGCCTCTGAAAAATGTAATGGTTTTCGTTGAGGATTTAGCCAGTGGTATGGCAGTGTGGGAGTATCATTCATGTTCCAGACGTAGCAGATCCTCTGGGGAGATGGTGAATATTAAAGGGCTTTGCAGGAGCCTTCCTTGTGAAGGCTCTTGACAGGAGATTTGTTTATGACCTTCAAAAAAGGAGGAGGAAGTCAATGATAGCTCTGGCTGCCTCTTTTGCATCTTAAGGCAGTCCCAAGCCATAGAAAAAAAATAGAGCTGCAGTTACAGTTTCAGGTATTTACTGTTGTCATCAGAACTGTGCAGCTCTTCCGTGTGTATTTATCACATGTGCCAGATTCCTTTAAGTGCAGTGTGAATTTAACAAGGAAATAGCTGTCTGCAGAAATAGCTGTCTGCAAAAAAAAACTAAGCAGATCAGAGAGGAAGACCTAGTTAAATTGTTTGCATCAAAGTACCCAAGGCTGGTCAGTCAAGACAGTCAACATTATAGAAGTAAAAAAGATATAGAAGTGAAAGCTGGGGGATTGCTGACACAAAATATTAAACTGACACTTTTCTCAAATTCATTTATGAACTTATTGCTGACCACGGATGCCTCAACTTTTGATGCAGCGCTCTCATTTCACCAGGAACCAAATGGAAACTGTCAACATGAACGCATCACAACAAGACAAAAATCTAAATATAGGGTATTCTTGGAACTTCATGAAGAGGGTTTTGCCATAACCCTGACAAAAAAAACAAACAAAGACAGTGACAAGTTGCCAAGTTTGCATGTAGGAAGAGTACTGAAAAAGAAATCCTTACACTGTAAGCCACCTCTCGTAATTTCCAACCTTAAAGAAAGCGATTCTAATGACGAGTTTGGTGTTGTCTCCAAAAAATAGGTTGGGGATAATTGCCTGAAAGATCAGGAGAGTGAGAGTAAAAGAATGCCTCAGTCTGTCAATTTAAGCAATATGAGTGTCTGTGACAGGCTTTGTTGCTCACCAGCTGCAACTGCCTCTGTGTAAAAGTGCCAAGTGAGAACTAAAAGCAAGAAGAAGTAATATGTGAGGCGTCTCAGGCTGTGTTCCTTATATATGATACTGCATGCCTCTGAAACAAAGCAAAGCACAACATAACCTTCCTCCACACAGAAACTGAAGCATGAGAAAAGGTGAACAACTTCAGCTTAACTTGCTGGTGAGTAACTGTTCAGTCTCAACTAAGACTGACAGTCTTGTGACTTATTTGTGTAAAGTGATCCGAACTTGTGCAGCAAAATATAAACCGTAGAGAAGGACTATAATTAACAGCTCGGGTGTCAGTGTTAAAAAGGTGTGACGGCACTTTTTTTTTAAAACGTACCTTCACACAGGCACTGATAAGCTCTGGTTTGTGCACGCCAAAGAAAGGATGACTGTGTAAATGTGCTGCCGGGAGGCTTGCTTTCATCAGCAGCTTACAGTCTGTCATCATGGCTGCTCCTACAGTATGGCCTACCACACCTGCCAGAACACAGCAGGCTGCATGAACCTTTTTTAGTGGCAAAACAACATTACATGAGCAAATATGGAAGCAAATAAGAGACATTAATATTTGAATTTCAATAGCCACTAAATACTTAGCACTGAAATTTGATTGCCACTTTATTCATAGCACTGAAATATTTTATGTTAAAACCATGTATCAGTTTTTTTTTGTTCTGAATTGACCTCTAAATTAAACAGTAAAATTTCTCGATTTGCAATTTTAAAAGCTATTTCATTATATTATATTTATTTCATTTATTATATTTTTCAGTATTCACAAATTCAGATTCAAAATTACAAGCTTATCAAATTTATTAATTTATATATATTTTTTTTAAAGATCCAGGGTGCTCAACTTCAATTAGTCAATTTCAGATTAAAAAAATAGTTTCATAATTAACAAAAAATAGATCCAGGTTGCTCATATTCTGTTGGTTAAATTAGGCTCTCAAAATTCAAGTTGTAAAAATTTTAACAGAACACCAGTAAAATTCAATCGGTCAAAACATTTAGGTCGGACTGCCTATCCTATCCTGAATAATATTAATTCAACTTGAATTTTTGGATCTGAACTTGTGAACACTGAAAAAATAGATTCATGCACAGCTTTTAAAATTGTAAATCAAGAGATTCCATATTTTTTTTTATTTTTAAGTTTCAAAGAAGTGAATTGAAAACAAATACATTTTAATACATAGTTTAATTAAGTATTCAAGTGCTGTTAAAATTAAAATAGGCCTACTTATGTCTCTTATTTGCTTCAATAGAAGTTTCATACATGATCCTATTTTCACAAGATCATATTAAAAGTCACTGTGACAACAAAGGTGCAGCTCTAACTCATCTTGATAACAAATATACACATACAGGTAGCCCTACCCCAGATACAACTAGTCCAGATTTCTAATAATAATTTATTTTTGGCCTCACAAAACCTAGTTCTACTGACCAATCAATACAGTTATTCAATAAAGACTGATGTCCTCTGCTATACAAACCTATTACACTTTCCTGATCCATCTTCATTTGCGGTAAATGAGAGAAAAGGAATACCTGACATGACTGTCTTTGGAAATTAGTAAGCTCCTTCAACACAGTTGGGGGGACTGCTCTGGAAGGAAGTAATGGTTCAGGAAGATTCTGTTTGTTTGTCCCAGAGTAAGACAAAGGGCACCAGTACAAAAATAAGTGCACAATAGTTTATATAGAGCACAAAAAAAGCTTTGGTAGCCAAGCAAACAAATAGAAAAATGTAAGCTTGTAAAACTATACTCGAATCGTTTGCTGTGTACAACCCGACTACCCCACAAGTATGTTCATCTATAAAACATTCCCCTTTTGTGTTAATGTGGTATCTTCAAGACGTTATAAAAAAAGACATTTGCATTTTTCTTAGCATATGGCTTCTGAGTTTCATGGTGTCTAATTATTGCGTTATGGCTTTGGAATGGGTTCTAAAAGTGTCATTTGAGCCCATAAAAGTTATTGGATAATTTTAGAGTCCTCAGATCCCCATACTTGTGTGAAACCCACCCGAGCTCGCCTGACCAAAAGAGTTACACACACTCGCACACGTAAGATGGTTGGACAGAATATGTTAGACATTTTTTGGTGTTTGCTTTTTCCACTGAATCCCAATATCTCTAAGCTATTTGGTGTGCTGAGATTTTTTTGCTCTGCAGAGAGCAGAAAGATGATGGGTTGTGCTAAATAATAACAAAGAAATGATAGAGGAATAGAGCGAGTAAGAAGATCATTTAAACTGGCAAGTCCTTCTGTTCTTTCCTGTCAATTGTAACTTCACCTAGATAGTGGTGTCACACTAATGGCAGCATGTGGAAGTCCCCACTGTTCATGTAACCTACCACACAAAGCACTCAGCCTCTGTCTGTCCCTCTGACACTCTGTGATGTTTCAAACATTCAGAAGGGTATAGAACCGGAAACAATCCTTAAATTAGCATTAACTCACGCCAAATATGCATTTTTATCCCAAATACCACATTGTATTGAGTCACAACTTCCCCAATAACAAAAAACACGTAATATAAAGCCATTAAAGCCTATTCAGCCAGCTGTCAGTCGCTTGTTTCGGAATAAAACACTCCAACTGAAAGCTAAAAACAATGCTAAAGCTAACATTAACCGCACGCTAGCAAAGGTCAACTACGTCGTCAAAATAACTTCACTCACCACCGCGTTCTTCATGGTGGCCTTCACGGTGAAGCCCGGTGTTTTCAGCTCCGTGTTTGTCCTCAACATGTCCACAGGTACTGTCTTCCAAAAAGGATAAGACCAAAGAGTCCAAAAACCGACAAAGAAGAGCAACGTTGCTAACTAATTAATACTTATTTGGCTCTCAGAACGTGACGACCGTTGGGGTTTTTTTCCCAGAGGTTGCTAGGCGACTTCAGAGACGCTCTGGTCTGGTTGCCGGGAGACGTGTGTTTCCCTGTTGCCATAGAAATTCCAGGGCACTGCTGAAAATATGCAGAGCAAAGTGTCGTGGTTAATCTGTGCAGGGTGCCTGATGTGCTTTATAAATAATAAATAAAGCGGTTTAAAGTTGTCAACATAAACAAAATGGATTCCTTTGTATTTGCTGTGTGAATGCAAGGAAAATATTTATTATATTTTCCTGGCTGGAATGTTTTGTAGCGTATGTGAGTGACATCAGCTGACAAGAAGTAAACACAGACTCAAGCTGTTGCCTAGCAATGTGATTCCAGTATTGTTTTTTTTATTTGCTGTTATTTTAGAAGGGAGTCATATATCAAATTGTTATGAAGATGGCAATATTATAGCAAAACAGGAAATTGCCTTTATATCCTGACAATGACTGTTTCATCAGTGTTTTTTTAGTCATGAGTGCAAGCGATGAGGGTTGGGGTTGGCCTACCTTCCTACCTCTTTAAAGACAGGGAAAATAAACAAATAAAGGTAAATCAAAGAAAATAAAAGAGTGTTACTCCTTAGTGGACACACTCCATCCACTCAAAGCTGGACCAAAGCACCTGCAACAATGAGCCAGCACCCTCCCCTGGGCCTGGAAGCCACTCAAGGCAAGCTTTCTCCAAAATTAAAAATGTCAACTAAACAGTCAACAACACAAAAATAAATATTTTTATTTTTTAAATAGAGATTGAGTAAATGGCCCTTTGCCCTCCTGTTTGCCTCTCCCTTGCGCCTGTCCAGTCCCGCTCCTCATCACTTTACAGTTTCACATTTAACTACTATAGTGCTTATTATATTACAGTGTATTGATTGATGGCCATTATATTATTATCACATCACTTAAACTTAACACTGCGTTAATATATTACTATTTAAATAATATAGCTGTCACACAAGATATACTTCTTGTCACTTTAACATCAACACAGCTCCTTTTTCTCTCCCTCTCTGCCACACATCCCATAGCCTACTCCTTACCCAACAAACAGACCCACAAACATTACCAACACCTGAGGAAATCTCATCTCTAGCCCCGGACTCTTATCATATCACCACATACATCATCATAACTGCTTTTTGTTACTGTCTATGTCTGTTAGTTGCCCCTTTCTCCTTGTATGTAAATGTGCCACCAATTAAAAATCTAAAAAAAAAGGACAGAGAAGTGCACAGACGTATAGTTTCTTTGTTTGCAAAGGCATGCAGGTACAATGAAGGTCCGGTTGCAGGCCAAAACATTCATACTGGACCTTTCTCTGGTAGTCATGGCAGCAGTAGGAGTGAGTCACACACATAAAAATTACCTGTCATTTATTTCTATTTTCCACACATGCACAAGTCACAAGCAAGTCTCAAGTCTTAATCTTAAAGTCTCAAGCAAGTCCCAAGTTACTGTGATGAGAATCAATCAAGTCGAGACCCTGCTATAATTCAAGCAAGACAGTTCAAGTCATGGTTAAAGTCAAACGAATCGTAAGTCAAGTCATATGAGATTGTGTATCTGGTCAAAAGTTTTACTAGCCAAGAAGCTAATTAGTTAGCCAAAAAAGACACATTGCTCTCCGTGTCTTTGTAGGCTCAGTAGTGGTGGTGTCTCTTCTTACTTCTTTAATCGACATAGCATTCACTTTACGTAACCGCTTATCCTGTTGGGGGTTCAATTCAATTCAATTCAATTCAGCTTTATTTAAAGTGTAAAATCACCATAAACATGGTCTCGAAACACTTTACAGTTCACATAGACAAAATACATTAGAAAAATACAATTTACAGATAAAAAAAATACAATTTACAAATAAGCACAATTATTTACAAAGAAGAAAAAAAAACAATTAAAAAATACAATTAAAAAAGTGCTAGCAAGTTGTGCCATATGCTTGGGAAAATAAATAGGTTTTTAGTCTTGATTTAAAGATGTCAACAGATTCAGCATCCCTTAGTGTTTGGGGGAGCCGGTTCCAGAGAAGTGGGGCACGGTGGGAAAATGCTCTACCACCTACTGATTTTTTGTGAACTTTGGGGACTGGAGTCTGATCTGGACTGGATCGGGAGCCAGTGGAGAGTGATTAAAGCTGGGGTTATGTGCTCATATTTCCTGGTTTTGGTAAGTATGGATGGAAAAATGCTGTCTGTGTGATTTCCCTGATGTGAGCATCGAAGGACAGAGATGAATCAAAAGTCACACCAAGGTTTTTAACTGTTGATTTTGGGGTGACAACACAGTTATCAATGTTTAGACTAAGGTCAGTGAGGAGTGGTAGTTGGGTGCTCGGGCCTATAATTAGTAGTTCGGTTTTGTTGGCATTCAGTCGTAAAAAATTTTGTGACATCCAGTGAGTAACAGCAGCTAAGCAGGATTCAAGATTTGTAATTTGGGATTGATTGTCAGGTGTAAGTGGAATGTAAATTTGCATGTCATCGGCATAACAATGATAGTTAATGCCAAATCTATGAAATATGTCACCAAGGGGCAGTAAGTATATACAAAAGAGTAAGGGACCCAAGACAGATCCCTGTGGTACGCCAAACTGCACTAAGGAGGATATGGATGTAGTGTTTTTATATGAGACACAGTGCTTTCTGTCACTCAGATATGATTGTAACCAGGAAAGTGCAGTACCATGGATGCCTACGTGATTGGACAGACGATCTAGCAGAATGTTGTGATCGACCGTATCAAAAGCTGCACTTAAATCTAGGAGAATGAGAAGTGAAGAAGAATTGGAGTCAGATGCAAGGAGAAGGTCACTGGTTATTTTGGTGAGGGCAGTCTCAGTGCTATGTAGTGGTTTGAAACCAGATTGAAAAGGATTGAGGAGGCTATTGCGTGAAAGGTGATCAGTGAGTTGACTGGAGACTATTTTTTCAAGGACCTTTGAGATGAAAGGGAGATTTGAGATTGGTCTGAAGTTGTTGAGAACATCAGGATCAAGAGTAGGTTTTTTGAGTAGTGGTTTGATTACAGCTGATTTGAAAGAAGTGGGGACAATGCCAGATGAGAGGGACCTGTTAATAATGTTGAGTAGTGGGGTGCCAAGAATCAGAAGGAGTTCTTTAATTAGTTTTGCCGGGAGAGGGTCAAATAAACAGGTTGTAGGTTTAGATGAGAGCAGTAATTTAGAAAACACATCTAGAGAGATGGTCTGAAAGTGCGAGAGTGTCATAGTCTCATCTAAGATTCTTAAAACCGGGCTAGGGGATGGGTTTACACACTTATTAAGTAGATGGCTGCTAATTTCATCTCTGATACAGGAGATTTTGACATTAAAGAAATCAAGAAAATCATCAGCTGTAAATCAAGAGTTGGTATCAGAAGAGGGTTGGCGAGTGAGGTTTGCAACAGTGTTGAACAGGAATTTTGGGTTATTTTTATTTGTGTTAATAAGAGTTGACAGGTAAGAGGCTCTAGCAGCAGAGAACATACGTTTGAATTCTGAAGGCTGTCACTCCAAGCTAGTCGGAAAACCTCAAGCTTAGATGAGCGCCATTTACGTTCTAGCTTTCTGCATACGCGTTTTTGTGTATTCTGTTGTTCTGTTGGGGGTTGTGGGTGGGCTGGAGCCTATCCTAGCTGGCATTGGGCGAGAGGCCGGGTACACCCTGGACAGGTCACCAGACTATCACAGGGCTGACACATAGACACAGACAACCATTCATGCTCACATTCACACCTACTGACAATTTAGAGTCACCAATTAACCTGCATGTCTTTGGACTGTGGGAGGAAGCCGGAGTACCTGGAGAAAACCCACACAGACATGGGGAGAACGTGCAAACTCCACACAGAAGGGCTGCCCCAACTGGGAACGACTCTAGTCAAGGTCAACTCCCAAGTCATGAATAAGCAAACCAAGTTAAAGTCAAGTCATTAATGTAAGTAAAGCAAATTTAAAGTCCTCAAATGTGCAATTTTACATCCAAACGAGTTAAGTAATGAGACTGTAGCCCCCAGCCTCTGAGTAACGGGTCAAACTGATGCCCAGCTCACCTATTGTTATATGGCAATTTTACCTAATGGGCTGCAAACTGTGAAAAGATGACCTGACCTCACTCTGGGTGACCTGTCATTTTGTGTCCCTCTGCGACAGCTCCAGGGCCCACACACTTTCATCTTACACACACAGGATCGATCCCACCCTCAGCTCATCATTATACTCATGCAGCGGATACTCATCCAGAAGTAAATACTTAATGATGCTCTTTGTCTGGCAGGTAGACCAAGGCCTTGACTCTCAATAAGCTGGTTAGAGAGCAGCCCGAGCTCTGAATCATTCCAATTTAGGGATGTGGCACTTTTAATCTTCCAATATCGTTTTTGCCTCTGGAGACTTTCTTGGGTGAACTGGTGCAACTGTTATTAATCTTCAGTGCACAGGCAATTTCTCTAAAAGCCCCTATTTGTTTTTTATGGCTCCATTGAGAGAGGAGGGTATAGCAGCAGGGAGGGAGACTGTAAACAAGGTATGCAGGGAAGGCAAGTTATGTCCCTGTCAGCATTCAATGCTGGTCTCTCTCCCTCTCTCTCCCTCTCTCTGCTTCCCCTCAGAGGATTAAAAAGAGGAAGAGGGGAGTTTTCAGAAAGCAAACTGAGCAAACTGGAGCGTCAGCATGAATTCAGCTGGACTGAGAAATGATTGTTCAAACAGCACTGCACTATCTCACTCCTGTGAGTGTGCAGCAAGGAGAGGAGCTGGCCTTTGTGAATCCTGGAAACAGACATCGCAGGAATGACGCGTGAAATACAAAATATATCGTTAGTCTTGCCAATCTCTTGGCACGTTCATGTGTGGACACGTGTATAAGTGTGTACATCTGTGGCTCTGTCAGGCTGCCAGTGTCGTTCACTGCACAGGTCAAGTTAATATCTCAGTTTCCTACAGCTGCTTCAAGGACACAAGTGTAGTCTCCAAATTGACTTACACAGGGAGGATTCATTTGTATTTTCCGCCACTAATGATGTATCGTGAATAACCAGGTGGTTCGGTAGGTATGAGGAATGCGGGAAAATATCAGTAACA